TTAAAAAAAAAAAAGCCATATTGAAGTACTGTTAATCAACTTATAATGTTTGCATTTTTTCTCCACTGGTTTATAAAATTGTAATAAAAATTGTGGGCTACAGAACAGAGTAGATTTGGCATTGGCTATGAAGAATGGGGCAGGAATAAGATAGGTAGAGAAGAATGATGAGTGTTCCAGCTAAGGGGGATCAAAAAGAAGTGTTTTTTGAATTAAATAGAAGAGTGTGATTCAGCACTGAGTTATACTCCTGAAACCAACATTGTACTGTATGTTAACTAACTAGAATTTAAATAAAAATTAAAAAAAAAAAGAGTGTGATTCAGAAAAAATAATTTCCTCCTTTGCTGAAGGCTGATCATGATCATAGACTGCTTAGAAAAAAAATAAGAGGAGGGCTTGAAAAAGAGAAATAAAACCTTTAAAGAAATTTTCAAGTCTGTATAAAATTTTACAATGGTCAAGGAATGGAATCTTATTCATGTCTAATTTAAACACACAGATTTCCCTATTTGGATCCACCTAATGAGAGACTCATTTTGGAAGCTCTTAAACAACTTTACCAGTGTGATGCTATTGACAGGTAAAACAACAACAACAAACCAACCACAACAGATGTTAATCTCTTTCTGTTCCATTTTATTATTTTTAAAATTTTTTATTTTTAAGTAAACTCTGTGTCACACATGGGGCTCACACTCATGACCCCAAGATCAAGAGTCACATGCTGTACCAACTGAGCCAATCAGGCACCCCACTCTCTATTTTATAATATTTTATTTTATTTCATTTTATTTTATTTAGTTATTATTTATTTGAGAGAGAGAGGGAGAGAGAGAGAGTGTGCCAGGGGAGGAACAGAGGGAGAGGGACAAGCAGACTCCACGCTGAGTGCAGAGCCTGACACAGTGCTTGATCCCATGACCCTGAGATCATGACCTGAACCAGAATCAAGAGTTGGATGCTTACCTGACTGAGCCACCTAGGCGCCCCCTCAATCTATTTTTCAAATAGGGTTCTTAATAGTTTCCTTTATCAGTAAAAAAATGATTTGTTTAAATTGAATGGATTGTTTTATCTGAAATTAGAATTTGTCCTCAGTTTTTCTTTGCCACAATTCTGAATTTTAAAATTGTATGATAAAACTATGTTTATATTTGGTATTATTTAACAAGTAATTTTTGAGTACCATTTCAGTACCAGGCTTTAAGCTGGGTATATGAAAATAAGAGAGCCAGAGTCCTTGTTCTCATGATTGTGTGATGGGGAAAGATTTGTTAATTATCATTCTCTTATTTCTTCAAGGACATCCTCTATGCTTCTGTAGCATTTTGTGTCTTTTATTATAGTACTTTATTCTGCCTCATTGTTTAATTTTTTTGGATGTATTGGCCCTTGAAAACAGGGAATATATCAGCTTGATGTTTTCTTTTATCAATGATCAGTGTGTCATGTTTCTTATATTGAATTGAATTTCTGGAGTTGATTTAAGGTAATATAAACTATATCTGATTTATTTTGAATGATGAACATTTCATTTTTACTCTCCCAAGGTAGAAAGACTTAAGAGCCTTTTCTTTCTATTAAGGAGTGGCCATGTGACCAGATTGGGTTTGTCTATGGTGGAATTTCCTCTCCCTCCACATCTGACATGTGCAGTAATAAAGGCTGCTTCTCTGGATTGTGAAGATTTACTACTTCCAATAGCAGCAATGTTATCTGTGGAAAATGTCTTCATTAGACCAGGTAAGAAGTTTATTGATGAGTTTTTTAAAAATTAATAGACTTTATTTTTTAGAGCAGTTTTAGGTTTAAAGAAAAATTGAGGATAAGTACAGATGCACACAGTTTCCTCATGATTAACATCTTTCTTTAGTGTCATACATTTGTTATTGATGAGCCAGTATCGATACATTATGATTAACTAAAAGGGTCACTTTATTGTATATTTGGGTTTTAACAAATCTGTAATGACACATTTCCACCATTACAGTAATATACTAAGTAATTTCACTGCCCTAAACATCCCCTTGTGGTCCACCTATTCATCCCTACTTCCCTTCTCCCAAGCCCTTGCAATCACTGGTCTTTTTACTGTCTCCATAGTTTTCCCTTTTCCAGAATGCCACATGATTGGAATCATACAGTACATAGCCTTTTCAGACTGGCTTCTGTAGCTTAGCAATGCACATTTAAGGCTCCTTGTTGTCTTTTTGTGGCATAATAGTTCATTTCTTTTTATTGCTGAACAATATTCCATTGTATGGGATTTATTTATCTTTTCTCCTATTGAAGGACATCTTGGTTGCTTTCAAGTTTTGGCAGTTATGAATAAAGCTGCTGTAATCCGTGCACAGGTTTTTGTGTGGACATAGGATTTCAACTCACTGCTGAGTTGTAGTATAATAATATTTGTAAGAAACTGCTAAACTATCTTCCAAAGTGTCTGCACCATTTTGCATTCTCACCAGCAATGAGTCTGAGAATTCCTGTTGCTCCACATCCTCACCAGCATTTGGTGTTGTCATTGTTTTAGATTTTGACCATTCTAATAAGTGTGTTAGTGGTATCTTGTTGTTTTAACATGCAGATCCCTGATGACAAATGATGTTAACCATCTTTTTATATGCTTATTTGCCATCTGTAGTTTTTTGTTTTTTTTTTTTTTTGGTGAGGTGTCCATTCAGGTCTTTTTATTTTATTATGTTATTTAAAGATTTCATTTTTAAGTAATCCCTATACCCAATGTGGGGCTCAAACTTACAACCCTGAGACGGAGTCTCATGCTCTACCAACTAAGCCAGCGAAGCGCCCCTGGATCTTTTTAAATTGGGTAGTTTTCTTATTGTTGAATTTTAAGAGTTCTTTGTATATTTTGGGTAACAGTCCTTTATCAGGTATGTCTTTTGCAAATATTTTCTCCAAGTCTGTGGTTTGCCCTCTCATTCTTTTGATATTGTGTTTCATAGAGCAGAAGTTTTTGATTTTAATGAGGTCCAGTTTTCAATTATTTCTTTCATGGGTCATGCCTTTGGTGTTAATATTTGAAAAGTTACCACCATACGCAACATCCTCTAGGTTTTCTCCTGTTATTTTCTAGGAATTGGATGTCCATTTGTTCTAGCCCCATTTGTTCAAAAGGCTATCCTTTTTCCATTGAAATGCCTTCCCCCCTTGTTAAAGATCATTAAACTATATTTGTGTGGGTCTGTTTCTGGGCCCTGTATTCTGTTCCATTGACTTTTTTTCCTATTCTTCTGTCAATTCCACACTGTCTTGAATATTGGAGCTTTATAGTAAGTCTTGAAGTTGGATAGGGTCAGTTCTCTGACTTTGCCCTTCCCCTTCAACACTGTTTTGGCTATTTTAGGTCTTTTCCCTTTCTATGTAAACTTTTCAACCAGTTTGTTGATATCTATAAAATAAGTAGCTGGGACTTTATTTGGGATTATGTTGAATCTGTAGATCAGGCTGGAAAGAACTGATATCTTGGCAGTATTGAGCCTTTCTTTCCATGAACATGAACTATCTCTCCATTTATTCAGATTCTCCGGTAATTCACTGGGCATTTTTTATTACCATATATCTAGCCCTATGAGACATGAAACTGAGGATAAACGGATTTTACATTTTGTTATTCTTTAACTTAGTTGTTTGAAATAGAGAGTTTGTAATGTTCCTGGCTGAGAGTTTCCTTTCATTGGTAAAGGGAGATAGTATGGTAGACCTTTACCCTGTTATAGTACATTAGTAATATATTAACTTTTCTTCCCTAGTCTCAAAAGAAATGGAAGTTCTAAGAGAATTGTTTTGAGGTTCCCATGTCTTTAAACTTCTGCTTTCCTTTCTTGGTGTGTCAGTATGGGACACAACTTAGTCTCATAGCAGCTTTACTTTCTTCTAATGGGGGTGGGGGGGCGGTCACAATTTCTTTTTTTTTTT